TCAGTAGTTCTTTGACTATTTCCTCTGTGGACTTGTGTGACTCATTTTGTTCTGGAATGCCAATTATTCTTAGGTTATTCCTCTTCATGTTGTCCAACATGAATCTTAGACCTTCCTCTGAATTTTTCACCCTTTTTTGGGTTTGTTCTTCTGTCTTAGTGGTATTGAGAGACTTGTCTTCCAGCTCACTGATTCTTCCTTCCATCTCATCTATTCTACTCCTCTGCCCTTTCAAGGAGTTTTCTATTTCTGCCATTTTGTTGTTGATTGGACCTCTTTCTGTAGGTTTTGGATTGTTACCAATGCTGTATCTATCTTGTTTGATTGTTCCTGTAGTGCTTTTCTGATTTCTTCCTTATTTTTCTCAACTCCATTGTAAAGTGCTTTGAGACATTTAATAATCATTTTTCTGAATTGTTTCTCAGGTATCTCCAAGGTCTGTCCTCCTTCCAGCATAGAGGGAAGGTCTACTTCTGGTTCATTTGTCTCAGATATTTTATCTTTTTTCTGGACCTGTGCTGATATGATCATCTGCTTTTGCTTCTTGGACATGTTTAATGTTTATCTGTGGCCCTAATAATTAATTAAGTACGTGTTTTGGTAATTTTTTATGTTTTCTGATTATCTCCAGGAAGATGTGATCAGGATGTGGTCTTCCCTTTTCACTCTCCTTATTGCTTAACTCAGAGTAACTTTTTTGGGCCTCAGTTGGGCCTGGGCCTTGGTGGCGGGCTGTTTGGGCCTCGGGTGGGTGAGTTGAGCCTAGGACGGCAGTTTGGGCCTCTGGGAGTCTGGGCATCAGCGACCGGGCTGCAGGAGGGTTGGACCTCAGGTGGGTGGTTTGGCCCTTGGGCTGGTGGTTTGGGCCTCGGGCGTGCAGTTTGGGCCTCAGGGGGCCTGGGTATCAGCATCTGGGCATCGGGTGGCTTGTGCCTCAGCAGGCGGGTTGGGCGGATTGGGCCTCGGGACCAGGCTGAGGGCGGGTTGGGTCTCAGGGGCACTGGGCCTTGGCGACTGGGCTTCGTGGCGGGTTTCCCTTGGTTGGGTCTGGGCCTTTGTGACCAGTCTGTGGGCGGGTTGGGCCTCAGGGCAGGCCTTGGCCTTAGTGGGAGTGTCTGGGCCTTGGGACGGCCTTGGCCTCAGTGGGTGGGCCTGTGCCTTTGGCGTTCCTAAGCCTTGGCTGCTTTGCAGAGGGCTGGTCTAGGCCGGGGCAGTAGTGGGCTAGGGGTCGTGGCTGCAGGGATGTAGTGTCCGTATTTGATGACATAGAAAATGCCTCTCTCAGTCTCTCTGTACTGTGGGTACCCTGAATTTCTTGATATCCACACCGATATCCCTCTCTATTTGTTCGGCTTTGTTAGTTTATCCTTCCTTTTCTCTGGAAATGCAGCCTTCTAAGTGGGGTTGCTCTAGTCCTGCATTCCAAGGTCTGCAGGGGTAGAGGCACTCGCTGGCATGGGCGCGGAAGCAGGAGCTGCGTGCAGGCAGGCAAAAGCTTAATGCCTGTAATTCCTCAGCAATTTGATCTTTTAAAAAAACGAGTTCAGAATGTTGAAATATAAGATCTTAACATTTGTTCAAAGGCTGTCTGTCTTCTAGACAGAGGTTTCTTATGTGTGATTCTGCCCCTTTTCCCCGAGACTGCCCTACCTGAGGTGCCTGGTCAGGGAAGTGCCGGAAGTCAAATGAGTACTATTGGTTCTTAATCATATGCTTCTTAAAATAGTTGAGCATTGGCCAATTCTTTTCGGTACAGTGACTCTGCGTATTCCTTCCATATTCTTTTGATGCTTCTTGGGTCATAGTTTGCCCATAGAACCCTACAATGTGGCAATTTGAGGTTTGAATTTTTTCTTCAAATCTTTCAACTTGAGAAATGCTGAAGTTCTTCCCTTTTAGTTTTCTGTGTTTTCTCGAGTTGCCTTTTGAAATGTTCTGTTCAGCTCTTTTACTTTATCATTTCTTCCAAGTCACTTTAATGTCTCTGTTCAAGAGCAAGTTTCAGAGTCTGTTAGTCTTTTCTTTTTCTTGTTTTTATAATGACCTTGTGTTTCCTTTATGTATGTTCTTGATGTCATCCCATAACTCACTGGTCTCCAGTCATTAGTGTCAAATGCATCAAATTGGTTCTTGAGATGGTCTCTAAGTTCAGGTAGGATATACTCAAGGTCATATGTTGTCTGTCTTAGATTTGTTTAAATTCTGCAGTTTCAGTCTGACCTTGCATATGAGCTATTGCTCATATTCTTTTGATGATAATGGTCTGTTCCACAATCGATCCCTGGCCTTCTGATGATATTGAGCTTCTCTATCGTCTTTTCCTGCATATGTAGTCCATTTTATTCCTGTGTATTCCATCTGGTGAGGTCCATGTGTATAGTCACTATTTCTGTTGTTGAAAATGGTATTTGCAATGAATTAGTCATTTGGTCTTGCAAAATTCTTTCATGCAGTTTCCAGCTTCATTTCTATCACTAAGGCCATATTTTCTAACTACTGATCTTCTTTTTTCCAATTTTTGCATCCTAGTCACCAATAATTATCTGTGCATCTTGATTACATGTTTAATCAATTCACATTGAAGAAATTGGTAGAATTCTTCAACTTCATTATCATTGACTTCAGTGGTTAGTGTGTAAATTTGAATAATAGTGGTACCAACCAGTCTTCCTTATAGGTTTATGAATATTATCTTATCACACTGCATTGTGCTCTAAGATGGATCTTGACATTTTTTTTCCTTTTGATGATGATGAATTTGATAGTGTTCCTCTTTAATTTGTCATTTCTGGCATAGTAAATTATGCGATTGATTCAAAATGGCCAATATCAGTCTATTTCAGCTGGTATTTGCTTTTGATGTCATCCAGTTTTTCTAGAATCATACTACATAATTCCATGCTTTATAATGGATGTTTGTAGCTGTTTCTTCTCGCTTTTAGTGTTGCCCCATCAGCAAATGAACGTGCCAAAAGCTTTGCTCCATCCATGTAGTTAAAGGTACTTTGAGGAGGCAGCTCTTCTTCAGTCTTATTTTGAGTGTGTTCCAACCTGAGGGGCTCATCTTCCGGCACTCTATCAGAGAATTGCATCCAGTTTCTAGCCCTGCAGTAGTGGTCCTTCTCTCCTTCTTTTTAGTCTCAGTCTGGAAGCTGTGCTGAATCCTATCTATCATGAGTGACTCTGCTGGTATTTAAAATACCGGTGGCGTAACATTCAGCAGCATGGTAAAATACAAGCCACCACAGTTCGACAAACTAACAGGGTGGTGGAACACCCATCTAATATTTTCTAATTCTGACTTATGTTTCCACACCTTCCATTGTTTTCCTAATTCCTTTTGTTTTTTTTCTGAAATAGGCTGCAATTTTCCTAAGTTTTATTGACCATCCTGCTCTGCAGGATTTTAGATATTATGATACTGCTTCTCTTCTTTTGTTATTTTTCTCATAGCAGCTCTATATGGGATTTTTATGTTGCATTTTTTTAAATTAATTTTATTATAGCAAATATAAGTAGTAAGAAGCAAAATATAAGTAGTAAGAAGCTTGCATATTTAACTTTTTTATGTGTACAATTCAGTGACATTAATAACTTTCACCAGGTTGTGTAAGCATCACAAATAGTTTTTATATCCCTCCATACCGAAATTGAAGGAGCTCTGATAGCATAGTGGTAACGAATCGGGCTGCAAACCTTAAGGTTAGCAGTTCGAAACTACCAGCAGCTCCACGGGAGAAAGATGAGGCTTTCTGCTCCCGTAAAGATTTACAGCCTCGGAAACGCTGTACAGGGTTGCTGTGGGTTGGAACCAACTTGACAGCACTTAACAACAACAACAACAATGAAATTGAGTACCCTGTCAGTAATAACTATACTTCTTCCTCCTCCTAGTTCCTTATAACTACTAATAATCTAGTGTTCATTTTTACATAAAACTTATTTTCCTCATCTCTTAGGAGGAGGAATTGATTAAGACAGCTTCTCCAGTTTTATGATTTTAGAGTTCCTTTTTCTGTTGTTTTCATGAAGTGTCAAAAAAGAAAAAGAACAAATGTTAAAGTGAAAAACACAGTTATTATGGAGTTTATTAGGGAAGTGAACAGAGTACAATTCAGGATCAGAAATAACTCAAGGTCCAGCGGTTCTCTAGTTAGTTAGGAACACCTTCTCTCTGCCGTGCCTTGCTCTGTTCTGGGTCCCTAGGCCTCTCCTCAGCTTGGACAAGCATTGTAAAGCCTCTGTAGTGTTCTCCTGCGTGAAGGCCCTCAGCAGTGTGAGTGGGCATCTACTCTGTCTCTGTGCTGCTGTCTCTGCTCTTTTTTCTTAATGCTCCGGGATCATCTGCTCCTGCTTCTGAATTGACTCCTAAACTCAGCAGAATGACCAGTAGAATGGTAAAACTGACCAATCCCCAAGTTAGAGTCCTATACACACTAATTGCAGGGTCCCAAGGAGCTCTGGTAACTTAGTGGTTACGAATCTGCCTGTGAATTTCACGGTCAGCAGTTCGAAACTACCCGCTGTTCCGTGGGAGAAAGATGAGGCTTTCTGCGCCCGTAAAGATTTACAGCCTCGGAAATCCTGTACAGGGTCGCTGTCAGAACCGACTCCACGGCACATAGCAACAACAACAACCCGATCATTTGATGGGAGTTTCAGAGACTGTAGATTGAAGAGCCATATCAAGTAATTCCACTCTACTGCACGTTGTGAGGACTTACCGCTGTTTGATAAAAATATATTGACTAGTCAAAAATGTATGTCCCCACTAACCATCTTTTTTTCCCAGATCGTTCAGTTTGGCATGAATGAAAAGGTGGGGCAAATTTCCTTTGACCTTCCACGTCAAGGAGACATGGTATTGGAGAAACCTTACAGTGAAGCTACTGCAAGACTGATAGATGATGAAGTACGAATACTTATTAATGATGCTTATGAAAGAACAGTAGCTCTCCTCACAGACAAGAAAGCTGATGTGGAGAAGGTAGGTGCTTCTTCTATAACTAATTCTCTGCCAACTTTTGCAGGAAAAGAGTAAAGTGATCATTTGGATATTTGGTTGGTTTATAAACTGTTTCCATTCTGTGGCCAACTCTTGTATTCATTCATCATGGTGTGCCAGTGCTGGCTCGCTGTCAGTGATCCTGTGGGGTGCAGTGGTGAGCAGAAACAGACCCAGACCCAGCCCTTTTGGCTCTTAGTATCAAACTAAAAATATGGCTGAGGGGCCAGTGAAGTCTGTCATAAACTGTAGCATTAACAGTGATGAAATTAGCACTCTTCTCCCACCTAATGTTCTCTTGGTGGTGGTAGTGGTGTGCCGTGGAGTTGGTTCTGACTGATAGTGACTGTGTACGGGGTTTCCGAGGCTGTGAATGTTTACAGGAGCAGAACATCTCATCTTTCTCCCGTGAAATAGCTGGGTAGTTTTGAACTGCTGACCTTGAGGTTAGCAGCCTGACTCTTAACCACTACGCTATCAGGGCTCCTTAAGCTTTAAATAAGGAGTTGATTGAGTTTACCATTGCTTTTCACCACTAGGATAAACAGGTACTAAACAATGGAAGGAGTCCTGGTGTGGTGCCTTAGGATAAGCACTTGGCCTCAAGGTAGGTTTGTACTACTAGGTGACTCACGAGCTGCTCCTCGGAAACCCAATCCCCAATACAGGATCACTATGAGTCGGAACCAACACAACAAATGATGAAAAGGCAAACAAAGAACTAGGGACAAACTTAGATAAATATGGCTCGATCATGCTCTAGTAGGTAAGCATGTTAGCTGATTTTGTTGGACCTCATCTGACAGCACCTACAAAAAGTGAGGACTCCTGGTGTGGCGCTGTAGGTTAATGCGCTGGACTGCAAAGTCAGTTTGAACTGCAAGGTCAGTGACTGAAGCTCACCAGCCGCTCCTCAGAAACCCTATACAGGCTTGTTATAGGTTGGAACTAACTCGACGGCACTTAGCAACAACAACAAAAATGAAAGGATTCTCTCCAAACGCAGTTGATTTCTTTTATCCGTAAATCAATTCTTCATCATCTTTGCAAGCAAAATTGGAATTTTTTGTTTTTTGAACACCAAAAAAAATTTTTGAACCATCTAATAAGAAAATAAACACAAAAGCCTTTTTATTGGGACTGACTCAAACAGAAGTATATTCTTAGATGCTATTTAGTCAGCAAGTCTTCAGAGTAGCCTACTGTGAGCCTGCTTTGGTGTCTTTTCTCAAAAGTCATTTTCTGGATGGATAATCTAAGGCTTATATTTTACCTTGTAAGTGACCAGGGTAGAATGCATGAAGGAAATGAGGAACTTGCAATGTGGAGGCTTGAGAGCATTATACAGTGGGGAGAGCTGGACAGGGGTAACAGGACTGCGTATGAAGGGCCTTGAAAGCTAGTCAGAAAACAGAGTAACAGCTTAGAAATGGACATGACCTAAAAATTATCTAATATAGCCTCCTGGTATTAAGGAATTGTGAGTAGCAGTGATTAAAAGTTCATTGTGTAAAAGTGTGTGGCAGCAGTGTATGGTATTAGAGTGGAAGAGATTGAAAGAACAGAATCCAGCTCAGACATTCCTGAGATGGTATCCATGGTGGTAGTTAAAATTACAAAAGTAAAGACAGGCCTTAAAAAAACAAGATTTATTGATTAAATATAGAAAAATAAAAGAGAAAAAAGATCTCAGAAAGACTTGGGTGATGGCAGACAGACTGGCGGAGGGCAGCAGAGGTATTGCAGGGCTCAGTTTGATCTCCAGGAGAGTGGGAGCAGTGGGCTGTTGCAAATGGACTAGGGACAGGAGGTATTGGCTATTGAAAACAATGAAAGCAACTGTAAGAGACAATAAAAAGCAGAAGAGCTCATTCTAGATTACTATCCCAATGAAAACAAAGACTATGCATAAAAATTTTCAAGAGTACATGTAATAGAGATATATAGGTATTATATATGCGTGTGTGTGTGTATACACACACAGAGACACACACACACACACACTCCATTGAAGTGCCATCAAGTTGGTCCCCACACATACCCAAGATAGGGTTTTGAGGAGCAGCTGGTGAGTTTGACTCAGCAGTTGTACTGGTTAGCAGTCCAGTGCTTATCCTACAGCACCACACCAGAGCTCTATATCCATGTTCCCCAATAATGAAACCCACTGCCATCGAGTCAGTTCTAACTCATAGCAACCCGATGTTGCGTTTACGAGGCAGTGAATCTTCATGATAGCAGAAAGCCTCATCTTTCTTCTACAGAGCAGCTGTACGTTTGAACCACCGCCTTGTGATTAGCAGTCCAGTGCTTGTTGTACAATGCCACACCAGGACTCCTTCTTGTTGTTAGTGCTGTTGACTCATAGTGACCCAATATAGGGTCGACCTTGTGGTTTGCAGATCAGTACTAATCCTACAGCACCATGCCAGGGCTCCTTGTTGTTGTTGTTAAGTGCCGTACAGTCGGTTTCGACCTACAGCGACCCTATATAGGGTTTCCGAGGAGCAGCTGATGACTCCTAGAGGATACAAATTTAACTAAAAGGCCAAATAAGCAAGGGCCTAAAATAAGAAGCAGACCAGTGACTACTAGTGGTCCTAAAAAGGTAGAAACCAAGTCAAGAATGGGAGATATGCTTTGATATGGGTCCAAATATCACTAGCCAGTATTTTCCTGGTGTCTCAGCCATTGAGCAGGTACAAGTGAGCGTTTGGCTCTAAGTCCCACCTCCCTGGAAGAACTGATATACATGCAACAGGAAGTATTCATGAGGGCACACACTGCCCTATTTGGCCAATAGATAGTCTAATTCACTGGTCCGTGACTATATTAGCTTGGGTGTCTAAGGAGTTTTAAGTCTTCCTCGATATATCTGCAACCATATATACATGGTGGTGGTGTGCCATCAAGCCGATTTCGACTCATAGTGACCAAGTATAGGGTTTAGCTAAGCAAATTGAGAATTAAAGATGTCTTATGAAAGAACAAAAATTTTTTGTTCCTCTGGACATTGTATCTGCAAAAATATATTTTAAAAACCAGAGTGTTTTAGTGTTTAGTATTCTGATTACATTCTTTAAAGAGTCTTAATCTTCTAGAAATAAATGAAAACATATGTGAATAAAATGGTATGGCATCTGGGATTTTCTTTATAATAGTCCAAGGAGTAGGTGAAACAAAATTGGCTCTAAATTGATAATTGTGGATAATGGCTACATGGGGATTGATTATCCATTCTTTTTACTTATGTATATATTGGAAATACTCCATACAATTGAAAAGAAAAGTTTAACTTTAGAAACAGCATTTAATATAAACTACAGATACGTTAAATTCCTTATTAGGGCACTATCTCTGAAACTAAATCCATTTATAAGGTCAGTTAATGATTTAAACTGATTAATTTTGTAACATTGTGGGTTACACCTTGGTCTCTTAACAACCGAAAGGTCAGCAGTTTGAACCCACCAGCTGCTCTGCAGGAGAAAGATGAGACTTCCTGCTCTTGTAAAGGTGAACAGCCTCAGAAACTCTACAGAGCCTCTGAGTAGGAGCTGACTCTACTGTATACAGCAGTTTTGTTGACAGTAGTCAGATGACCTAATGTGAACACAACTCTTGCTTTCCTGACACAATCATTGTTCTTCACATACGTGTGTTCTCTTTTCTGTGTAATATAAGTGTTGTGCATCACCCATAGAAATGAATAGAATTTCAAGACAGTATATTTTGATATTAGCCTTCCAGATTTAAATTTGTAGCTCTGCCCTTGTCTCTATTCTCCTCCAAGTAATGGTTTTTAAACTTGCTTTTCAGTCTCTTTCTATCCTTTCCCCCAGCCTGCCTTCCATAATCACTTCCATTACTTTCTTATATGTTGTTGTTAAGTGCTGTTGAGTTGAGTCTGACTCAGCAACTCTGTATAGAGTTTCTGAGGCTGTACCTCTTTGTGGGAGCGGAAAGCCTCAAACTTTAACCTGTGGAATGGCTGGTAGACTCAAACTGCCAACCTTGTGGTTCTCAGTTCATTGCTTATTGTACAGAGCTACCATGCTCCCACTTTATTATATTGCCTTGAATATTTTCTTCATGTATAGATAAAAACATTAAAAGATGTATTCTTTTCTCCTTTTGAAATCAAATGTAGCATACTATACATATTAAGTATCTTGCATTTTTCACTTAAGTATGTATCGTCAAGAGATACATACAGAACAAAGAGAACTTCTTTCTTTATTACAAATACTTAATTGTTCAATGTGTGGATGTATCAGTGCCTTGCTGATGGACATTTTTGTTTCTACTAGTTTACATCTTTAAAACGATGTTACCTTTTGTAACATCATTGATCTTTCTGATTGATCTTAAATCTGTATTTGGAATGGGATGGGCTATAAATAAAATCATTATTACCTTTGAATACACATTGGTGATGTATTCAAAGTACTCAACAGCCACTCATCAGAAACCCTCTACTGGGTCACATTGAATCAGAACAGACTTAATGATACTTAACAGCAACAACGAATTTGCTGAGTAATTGTATTTAATGTAAATCCTTCTTATTTCAGGTTGCTCTTCTATTGTTAGAGAAAGAAGTATTAGATAAGAATGATATGGTTGAACTTTTGGGCCCCAGACCTTTTGTGGAAAAATCTACCTATGAGGAATTTGTGGAAGGAACTGGCAGCTTGGACGAGGACACTTCCCTCCCAGATGGCCTGAAGGACTGGAACAAAGAGCGTGAAAAGAAGAAAGAGGAACCCACGGATGAAAAAGTGGCCAGCCAGATGAAAGGGGGGATGCCGTTCTAATTGCTCGGCTTGTTGTCAATTTGCACATTTCAACTTTGGCTTTCTCAGAAAATGAGAACATTGCTAAGCTGATTTTTGACCAACTTAAAAATCAACTGACCCAGGTGGAATGACGGCATGAGTAATACTGAATTCTCTGCCTCTGAGTTGCAGTGGGCATGGCAGTGTTGACTTTCTGAAGTGACTGAAGGAATCACAGGCTGTTCTACAGCCTGGTTGAGCTCTCTGTCCAGTGACAGATCAATTTGAGGCCAGTGCTCCAGAGCACGGGTGCCTCTGGGACTCTCAGGAAGGCCTGAGGCTGAACAGGTGGTCTCGGGGGCAATGTATTTGTGAAATTTTGGCAATATTTGAACGCTCCTTTTCGCATCATCCATTCTTCATTCCTGTTTCCCTTTAATTTCCCTTCACAGATGCAGGGGGCTCGTGGGCTGTGACATTAAATTCAAGTCCTGATAAGAATATTTTAACTTGATTTAATATTTTAAAGATTGAATCTTGATCACTTGTTGCTGTTTTAATGGAATGGTTTTCTACAAAGAGCTGTAATATATTTAAAAATATGAATAATATGTAAATACGGCTTCTTTACATTAAGATAAAATGTGCACGCTATCGTTTTCCCCTGAACACACAAAGGTTTATGCTTAGGATACTTTGTTTAAGGGAATCCATTTCTCATCAATTCCCAAAAGAAGACTACCACGTTTATACACAGATGATGTACAAATTATGCCTTTTTTTTTTTTTTTGCCAACTGCACTCTTTCCCCAAAGTGTTTTTGTAAGTATGTGCTGTTTTGTTTTTTTTATAACATGGGAAAAAAGAAAAAAAAAAAAGCATGGCATGCTTATGAAAAGGGGGATGCAGGACAAGGTTGGTAAAAAAAACTGTTTAACTTGTAGATTTGTACATCCTGGACTGACAGACTAGACTGGATTATAATACATTCAGTGTGCTACAAGTCAGTGGATTTCAGTCATTTAATGGTGTCATTTTAACCCTCATTGGCCAGTCACGAGCAGACTTTCACCCCACTGTCTGGGTCTCCAGGTTGATGAATAATCATGGTGGGCTGTGACAGGCTGTCTAGAAGTTTTTGATGTCCAGGAGCAGCATAGCTGAGCTCTCAGTGGTTACCTGTGGTTTCTCAGTAAAGTGGTCCAAACCATGAACTACTACTCTTCCCTGTGGAAGGGAGTTAATTTATGATCACAGAGATGGTACGGGACCAGGCATTGTCTCATTCTGTTATACATAAAGTTTCCATGAGTCAGAGCTGACTTCATGGCAACAGCAACAATAAGTGTATGTTGCATTATTACAGAAACAGTCAAGTCTGCAGTTTTGCAGATCTACATCAGAATTAGTGAAGATGACCTAAGGAAGGTTTATTCAAGTCTTCAAACACCATCATTTGGACTTGGACCTACCAAACATTTTTGCCTCTTTAATATTTTTTTAGCAACTTCCTAGAATTTGTGCTTCTCTGACAGCACCACATTCTGGCACCTTGTTGTTGTAAGTGGTGTTGAGTCGGTCCCTACTCAGTGAGGAGTGGCTGGTGAGTTTGAACCGTGAACCTTACCGTTCAAACTTACCTTGTGGTTGAGTGACTATCTTACAGTGTCACCCCAGGACTTCACCATACCTTGTCTTTGTTGTTAAGGGCCATTGAGTCAGTTCCAACCCGTAATGACCCTGTATAGCGTTTCTGAAGAGCGGCTGGTGAGCTTGTCCTGCCGACCTCATGGTTGAATCCAACTTTGCAGCCCAGTGCATTATTAACCTGCAGTGCCACACCAGGCCTGAAATAGCTGCTTAGGCTCAGTGGCTTTTCTTGGCTCTGTAAGATCACTGACGCCTTCACCCGACCTGGTATGAGAACTATAGTTACAGTAGGCACTCCCTGCACTCATCTTTCTTCTCCAAGCCAAGCCAAATGAGCGTATTTTCCAGTTAGAATGGGATGGTAAGCTGGTAGTTATTTTTACCATAACCTCACAAAATAGTTGAGAGTTCTGCAAAGGGGAACCTACTCTCGCACTACTGTCAAGTCCTGCTGCTGGATCTGTCTTGCTCAGGGCAGCCCTGAGTCTGACTGCTCACAACAAATATCCTACTCTTGGTGCAGCAAAGGTCAGAGGGGTGCTGCTCAGCGCTGGTGGCAACGGGTGCCATCCTGACTGGGGAATCAAGGCTCTTGGAGGCAGTTGGGGTGGAGTAGGGGATTCACCACCAGCATCTAAACACTCACCCATGAGAGCATTCCACTCAAAACGACCAGTCATTATATTCACAACTAGCTTCAAGGGAGGCGGGAACTGGAAACACTAAGTGAACAGCAGCAATCTACCTGCTACCTGGTAGTGGCTGAGAAGTGGGTTGTAAGGCCTCTTTTAAATGTGGCTATTTATCAGAGCTATAAAGTGATTAATTTTACTAAGAAGAAGTGTAGCCTTCAGTCTAGCTGTTCACAGGAACACAGCATCTCAGGAACTGCTTGTAGCGGTTCTCCTGCCCCCCCAGCCCCCACACACCCTCCAGCTGTGGCCAGAGGCTGAATGCTGTTTTTTGTGGATCCCTTGGCCAGTCTTAGCTGTGTTGCTATGGTAGGCTGGGGACATACTTACCTAGAAAATGACAGCATTGTGGGAGATTCTATGAAAGCACTAAGGGCTTAGTTGTAATGGGGCAGACCAGTTGGCATCAAGTTAACTAATGACAACCCCATGTGAGTCGAGTAAACTGTGCTCCAATGAGTTTTCTGTGGCTTCAGAGCACCACACCTTTCTTCTGAGGTACCACAGGTAGTCTTGAACCTCCCACCTTTCAGCTGGTAACCAGACATACTAACCTTTCGTACCACCCAGGGAAGAAGTCTCTTTTTCATGCTTGCACTACTTGTAAACTCAGGAAAATGTTAGCCAACACTTTAATGCCTCCAATTTAAGAAATGCGCTGCCAGTTTTTTTTAGGGAGCTGATGGAGTCCTGGTGTGGCGCTGTGGGTTAATGCGCCAGACTGCAAAGCCGTTTGAACTGCAAGGTCGGCAGTTCAAACTCACCAGCTGCTCCTCGGAAGTCCTATACTGGGTTGCTGGATGGCACTTCACAACAACAACAACAACGGGGCAGTTTATCCCAGGAAGGGACAAAAGGGATCGGAGCAACCATTTCACCAATTCAAAGTGACTTACCAAGTAAGGGGCGGAAGAGACAAATGTACAATGTTCAGTGTTTTATTACAGCTAGACTTTCAAAGTTCCACATTGCATATTCAGACAAGGTAACACTATGCTGCTTGAAGTCTTATCACAAAGGATGATACTACTTTTATAACTTCTCTCCACCTGAATCTCAGATATGGTCAACATTTATGGAAGGCAGGTTAATGTAGCCCTCTGTGGCCTCCGGCCTTTCAAGTACTCTTGGAGCTTCACAGTTGATCTGCTTATGGGTGGAGGGTGGGTTGCCAATTCTGTTGCTTTATTTTCTTACTCTACAAGACAGGTAATACAACTTTCCTGCATTTGGGGAATGGCCTACACCAACAAATTTAGATCAGTGCATCACCCGGACAGCCATTAGGATCAAGATGCACCAGTTAAAGAAATGACATCTGTATTTAGTATTTGAAGTAGGGACGCTCCGCTCCTCTATTCATTGATCTCTTCATCATCATCCTCAAAAGTTTCTTCTCCATCATTAACTGTGGCTTCTTGATACTGCTGGTACTCTGATACCAGGTCATTCATGTTGCTCTCAGCCTCCGTGAACTCCATCTCATCCATGCCTTCTCCGGTGAACCAGTGTAGGAAAGCCTTGCGCCGGAACATAGCCGAGAACTGCTCCGAGATGCGCTTGAACAGCTCCTGGATGGCCGTGCTGTTGCCAATGAAGGTGGAAGCCATCTTGAGACCCCGCGGTGGGATGTCACACACGGCCACCTTGACATTGTTGGGGATCCACTCCACAAAGTAGCTGCTGTTCTTGTTCTGGATGGCCAGCATCTGCTCATCCACCTCCTTCATGGACATGGGGCCTCGGAAGACAGTGGCCACAGTGAGGTAGCGCCCATGCCTTGGGTCGCAGGCGGCCATCATGTTCTTGGCATCGAACATCTGCTGAGTCAGTTCTGGCACAGTGAGAGCCCGGTACTGCTGACTGCCTCTGGCTGTCAGGGGCGCGAAGCCAGGCATGAAGAAATGGAGGCGGGGGAAAGGGACCATATTCACGGCCAGCTTACGGAGGTCAGCATTGAGCTGGCCCGGGAAGCGCAGGGAGGTGGTGACCCCGCTCATCGTGGCCGATACCAGGTGGTTCAGGTCTCCGTAGGTGGGGGTGGTTAGCTTCAGGGTACGGAAGCAAATGTCGTACAAGGCCTCGTTATCGATGCAGTATGTTTCATCTGTGTTCTCAACCAGCTGGTGAACCGACAGGGTGGCATTGTAGGGCTCCACCACCGTGTCAGAGACCTTGGGGGAGGGCATGACGCTGAAAGTATTCATGATCCTGTCGGGATACTCCTCTCGGATCTTGCTAATGAGCAGCGTGCCCATGCCAGACCCCGTTCCTCCTCCCAGGGAATGGGTGAGCTGGAAGCCCTGCAGGCAGTCACAGTGCTCGCATTCCTTCCTCACTACATCCAGCACTGAGTCCACCAACTCCGCGCCTTCTGTGTAGTGCCCCTTCGCCCAGTTGTTTCCTGCACCAGTTTGACCTAGAACAAATCCAAACAGAGTAGCATGCAGTTGAAATACAGCAATACAAGAAGAAACTACACAAGTACTTTTTAAAAGGGTGAAAGATGGGCATTAGGGCTGCTAAACACAGTGTTGACACTGCAAACTCACCAGCTGCTCCAGAGAGAGATGAAGCTGTCTTCTTCCATAAAAACAAGCTTTTGGGAACCCAAGGAATCCAGTGCACTTTGGTCCTATAGGATCACTACAAGTGGGTCTGTTTTGGTTCTTTTCCAACAATTAGGTAATTGTTAGCCAAATTGGGGGAAAGGGGAGACAGGCACCCATCAACACTGCTGGTGGGCATAGGACTTAGTACAACTTATTTCCAAGCTCACAACTTCTTTACGTATGGACATTATAAAATACTAAAATGTACATAAGGAGCTGTAGTGTGGTGGTTATGAATCGGGATGCGAACCTCAAGGTCAGCAGTTCAAAACTACCAGCTGATCCACAGGAGAAAGATGAAGCTTTCTGCTCCTGTAAAGATTTACGGCCTTGGAAACCCTATACAGGGTCGCTATGAGTCGGAACCAACTCCACTGCACATAACCACCACCACCACCAAGATGTACACACTTCCCCACCAGGTAAATCCATTCTTATATTTTAATAGGTAATTCTTAAACACATGATAAAATTTAAATAAGGAAACAAAAGTTACACATTAAAAAATAAGTCACTTTCCCTCTCCTTTGAGCATTCTGAATTTTGTACTATGTACAAATCATTTTCTTTTCAAAATAATTTTCTGTGTCAATAGAATTACTGTCACAAAAATTCCTGAGAACCTGATTTTTCACCTATAATTAAATACCAAAAACAGGAAGTGATTCCTGCCCTTAAATTGTTTCCAGTGCCGAAAGTTGTGGAAAGAAGCTTTACCTACCTGAAAGACTTTATATTTTTATTCCAGAAGTTCAAGTAACTGTCAAGAAAAGATCTGTCTTCTGTATAATGGTGCATTAACACCAAATATGCTCATATCTTATGTCAAAGAAGAAAATTTGAATTGGAATGATTAGCTCTTAAATTCAAAATTCTATTTTTTAGTTTGTTTCATTAAAAAATTAGAGCTATATCACTAGAGAAAGTACTTTGTCCAACCTGTCAAAATATGCAGGCATGTGTGAATACCTGAATGGACATCCCTCTCTCCCTTCACAATTCCAGGGAGAGGGAGTGGTGAAGAGGACTGGGAACTATTTATTTTAGTGTTTGCCTTTCTGAACACTGCAAATTTTCTATAATACAGTGTTCTTCACATATTATTGCTTCTGTGTCCCTGAAAACATGACAGTAAGTAGAAAAGTATTGCTGCAGAATCATTGTTGTAAAATGCCATCGGGTTGGTTCCAATGCATAGTGACCCTGTATAGGGTTTCCAAGGAGTAGTTGGTGGGTTTGAACCACCAGCCTTGTGGTTAGCAGTTCAGTGCTTATCCTACAGTGCCATACCAGGACTCGACAAAATCATGGGAACTTTTATTAAACAAAAATATCAAAATGTGAATCTATTATTTCTCAGCAAATCCTCCACCTAGGTCTATGCATTTCTGAAGGCTGTGTTTTTCATCTGTGAGAAATTCTCAAGATGGGCCATCTTCAGGAATATAAAGGGCTCATGAGATTGCTAGACCACCCAGACATATGGATTGTTAATTCACATCCAGAGAAGTGTAAGCAGGATGAATTGGGGGGAAGGGAGAAAAGGAATCTGTTCTAGGACTAGGAACTTTAAATAAGAATACAGCCAAGATGGTCAAACTTCATCTCTCATACTTCAGACATATTGTCAGGAGGGACCAGTCGCTAGAGAAGGATATCATGTTTGGTAAGGTGGAGGGTCAGAGAAAAAGAGGAAGACTCCAACAAGATGGACTGGCCAAGTGGCAGCATCGATGAACTCAAGCGTGGCAACAAAAGTGAGGTTGGCCCAGGAATGGGCAGTGTTTCGTTCTGCTGTGCATAAAGTCACTATGAGTTGGTATCGACTTGATGGCACCCAACAACAACAACAACAGTCTTTAAGATCATGGTCCAACCATTTTGGCTTCTCTGTGGGAAGGGAAAATGGGACATGCTGGATAGAATTGTTAATAGGGGACTGGAAACGGAAGAGGAGCTTTTTTGAGACAGGGAATAAAACTGCGGGCTGGCCATGTGGTGAGTCTGCTCATATCTACTAGGTTGGGCGCCCGATTTTGCAAAATCGAATGAAGAAAACCTCACTCTCGCTAAAATGAGTACATTGAGTTACTTGAGCATTTGTTGGTATGGACATTTCAGACATATCTCTAGCCCTCACCCCAATAATTCTGCCCTCTGTGATGTACACCACATCAAAACGACCTTGGCATCCCAAGGACTCCAATAGTGTTCCTTTGAAATGTTCTTTGTGTTTGGGGAACAAAAAGAAAGCTGAAGGGGCAGGGGCAGGGATTTAGGGTGAATAGGGTTTTGGTGTCTCCCAGTGCAATTCTCATATGGCATCCCTTGCTACCCTGGAGAATGAGTAGGGGAATTGTCATGATGGAAAAACTGTCTACACATAACTTTCCTGGCCTTTTTCTCACCAATGCAGTTTTTAGTTTTCTTAAAACTTTTTCCCTAATAAGTCCATATGATCCTGTGTTCTTTGAGGAAATCTATCAAGATTAACCACTTAGAGTCCCAAGAACATCACCATAATTTCTGAGCTGATCTCTCTGCCTTCAATTCATCTTTGAGGTCTTCCTTAAAATGACTAATTCATCTAAAAAAATTTTTTTATGTGGGGCAGCATTCCTATAAACTTGTTGCAAAGCTCCAGTGACTTGAGAAAATGTTTACTTGAGTTGTTTTTTTTTGTTGTTGTTGTTGGTTTTTTAAAATATATTAGCTTTGATCTCAAAATCAATTTTTTCCATGGTACAAAAAAGTATCCGTTTCTGAAGGCACCACAAGTGCATTACTGAACTTACTGTAAAGACGAGTTTAAACATGTCTTAGAGTCCTTGTGTGGCGCTGTAGGATCAGCACTGGACAGGTTCAAGCCCACCAGCTACTCTTTGGAAACCCTATACAGGGTCACTATGAGTCAAAATCAACAGTACTTAACACCACAACAATCCCCGTATAATACAGCCCTTGTGGCACAGTGGGGTAAGTATTGGACTGCTAATCGTTAAATGTTGGTCAACAATTCAAACCCACCAGCTACTCCATGGGAGAAAGATGAGGCAGTCTGCTTCTATAAAGATTTACAGCCTCATAAAGCCTATGGAGCAGCTCTCTTTCCTATAGGATTGCTTTGAGGCAGAATCGAGTCGCTGGCAGTGGGATTCCTTTTATATGCCATATGAGTTACTAACAGTTTGGAACATTTAAAACTATATAGCACACAATTTTAGTTGTTTTCCAGACTTACACATTTACAGCCTCGGATCGACTCAACAGCACTTAACAACAACAAAGGAGTCCTGACTGCAAAGTAGTTTGAATTGCAAGGTTGGTGGTTCAAGCTCACCAGCTGCTCCTTGGAAACCCTATACAGGTCGCTATGGGTCAGAATCGACTTAAATGGCACTTAACAACAACAGTGTAGCACAGGACCAGACAGTGTGTCATGGCACTTAACAACAGTAACAATATAGCACTTTACTATTTTCAAGAGGCAGCCTTTACGATTTCACTAGTTCATAACTAGTCTCTTCCAGTGGAGGACCGACATCAGATAGATTTGTAGTATTGTGCTAGATCAGAGAAATCTGTCAGTTGGTGCTTATTATGAATTATTGCCACTAGCTATATCTAGACAAAAAAAAAAAATCAAGTTGTTAACATTTTTGGACTAAATCAGGAGTAGGCCGTGTACTTTAGGGAGAAAGATGAGGTTATCTGCTGCCATGAAGTTTTACAGCCTCAGAAACCCTATACTTGGTCACTGTGCATCGGAACCGACTTCACAACACACAACCACTACCTCCACCAGGCCACATACTGAAATGCAAGCAATGTTTTAATGCAGAGTGGGAAGGTAAATAGGTCTTGGCATCTCTGCCACCTGAATGCATTGTCATTCATTCAATTTTGACTCATGACAACCCCATGTGTTAGAAAGTAAAACGGCTCCTTATAGCTTTCTTGGTTGTAATCTTTCTAGAAGCAGACGGATTGGTCTTTCTTCTAAGATGCCATTGTTCCAATCTATCTTATTGGCAGTCTTCCTCTTTTTTGCTGACCTTCCACTTTACCAAGCATAATGTCCTTCTACAGGGACTGGTCCCTTTTGGTAATATGTCTGAAGTATGAGAGATCAGGTGTGGCCATACTGGCCTCTAAGGAACATTCTGGCTATAGTTTACCAACAGATTTGTTTTTTCTTCTGGCAGTCCATGGTAACATTCCCTCCAACACCATAATTCAAATGTATCAATTTTTCTATGGTCTTCCTTATTTATTGTCCAGCTTTTGCATAATTACCAGTGATTTTTTCTAATATTCCTTTAAGTGTCTATTGACTTACTGACCGGAACTAAATAAAGTCCTATCTTTTTTGACAGTTAAGTCTAATTTGTAGAATTGTTTTGATAATGTGGACTGCCTTTGTGAATTAAATTATGACATGTAGTTTTTAATTATTTGAATAAGCAAAACCTACAAGTTAAAATTTTAGACAAAAATATAAAGTATTTTAAAAGTAATATTTTTAAAATTATATTTCAACTTTCCTAACTTTTTCTAAGTATAGCTGATTAAATCAAGTGTCATTAAGTGAAAAGTTAGGAGGCATTTGTTTGTCTTGGAAAAGCCTTTTTGGTACACTTCCAGAATGGAAAATGACCAACCCATGACAGGGTCACATGAGATTTTCCAAGTTGGGTCGTTTCCAATTCTGCTTTCCACAAAGCTGAGTTGTTGCCTGACAAATTATTAGAAACACTTTTTATGGTGGAACATGATTTGATTTTTGGCATATAACTCTGACGACTAT